CGATGAACTTCTTCAACACCTCCTTCTTCTCCGGTCGACTCCTTTTGGACTCAATTTTGTCGCAAACTCTGCAAAAGTCGGCAAACTTTGTCCTCTCGACCAATGGTTGACCACTTTTTGTGGCCATAACTCACCGATTGTTTCGCAAAACAAACCAAAAGTCAATTTAAATTTAAAAATCAAAACAACAAAAGTTTCGTCACTTCAATGAAATACCACAACACGTGACACACAGTAGAGGGCTATTCAGTCATTACGTATAGACCTATAGTTTGGTTAATAAAACACATTTTGAAAACCATTTTCAACACTAATTTAATGGTGAATATTGTTGTCTATTTGTGGACCCCTTTTGTCCGTAACAGTAGTTTGTGAATGATTTGGACGACTGTTTGATGACAAGTTGTCATTGACAACACGTGACGGCAATTGACATACAGTTTGAAAAGTTTGAACGAAATTAAGCTTATTTTGTGGCAAATAATCTTACGGACGGATTAATGGCACGAAAGTCGAGATCAACTAAAAGACAACAACAATCGGATGACAAGAATAGTGTCGCCGACTCTGCGGTCAAAAAGGGTCGCAAAAGAGGTGTGAATTTGACGGACAGTGAGGTTAACGAAAGCGAAACGAAAGTCAGCCGACAATCAAAGCCAGAGATGTCCAGACTTTCGGTGGATTTCTTCCGCAACAAGTCGTGCACTGAGTTATCGAAAGCACTTTTGGGACAAATCCTGTGCCGAAAACTGTCACCCAATGGACCCCTTCTGAGGGGACGTATAGTCGAGACGGAGGCCTATTTGGGCGCCGAAGACAAGGCGAGCGCCACTTATAACGGCCGCCGAACCGATCGCTTGGAGCCCTTGTATATGAGTTGTGGCACTTGTTTCGTATACTTCACGTATGGTATGTATTACTGTATGAATTTGTCGGCTTCGGGCGACGGACAGGCCGTCCTATTACGGGCTGTGGAACCGTTAGAAGGCATGGATACTATGCAAACACTTAGGGCTAAGTCTCGCAAAGCAAAGTCTGATAAACTGTTTGCCGACAAAATGCTGGCCAACGGACCCTCTAAGATGTGTATGGCTTTCGATATCAATAAGGATAACATCAATAAAGTGGACATCACTGACAGTGACTTAATATGGATTGAAAGGGCAGATACTGTTCCCGAAGAGAATATTGTGAGCACCGGTCGGGTCGGCATTCCCAGGGCTCAGGAGTGGGCCAACAAACCGCTCAGGTTTTACATCAAAAATAATCTCTTTATCAGCCAAAAGTAATTCATATAAATTTATATAAATTGTGTTTTTAATTACCAGTAAAACATTTTGTAATGTTAATGACAGAAAATTTAATAAAAACCATGTAATTAACCACTTCTCTTACTACTCTTACTAATCTTACTTAATGGCAAGAATTTGTTTCGATAAACTTTTGGCTGTTTCTTAATTTTGTTATTCCAACAAAACGGATATTTAGCCGTTGTTTTCAAATAATGATTACCAGAACTTCGGGCCAAAATACTAAGATAGCCCATAACAGCCACACCGATGCGGTCGGCGCACCGGCCGGTTGTGTAGTCGAGCCATGAATTGCATTTGAAAGCAATGAACGCACAGTTGGCCTGATTTCTCAACGACGCCTCCATGTAATAGAGAGCCGAGTTGTGGTCACACGTGCTTAAGACCTGTTTCTTTTGACANTATGACAATTGGCTTTTCTACTCCAAGTTCCCAAAAGGAACTTGGTTGACCACGAGTAAATTAGAACTTCTAATCATTTAAGTCAATGATTGAGTAGTTATTTTAATAGCTTTTAATTGTTAATTTTATATAATTTATTAATTACTTCAAATAATTGATAAAAATAGCAAATGGATTTGGAAATGGATATATTTGACCAGGATCTTATTCGGGTTACTTTCAAATGCATTTGAATTGTAGATTATAGTGTAATCATTACACAAAGCTTATCAGCAAATGACAAATAAACGGGTATTAAATTATTTATTGAAATATAATTTTATATTTTAATAATATATTTATCGATAATATTGAGTGAAATGTTGAGCAGAAATACTGAACATAAGAAACACAACACAATTCTCACAAATTCTTCGACTGAATAGCAGTTAAAGAGATCCGGTTTTCGGATATATAACGGAAGCAATGGAATGGGTTTATAAGTGATTCGTTTGCCTCGATATCGACTCCATCTGCAATCGATGTCATCGGCGAGACAGTCGACCAATTGGTCGCTCAGCACTTTCTGATCCCTCAAACCTTTGATGACCGGATTTATGGACCGAAAGATCGTTATGTCGGACAACAACTCGAAGCGAATCACTTTCAGTAGCGATCGTTTGGTCTCAAAATTAAGTACCGATTTGTTGCGAATCACGTGTTCGACCACAACTTGAAAGATGAACACTTCGTGGACACCAAATGTGTCCCGACTTAACAACACAGACATCAGTCCCGGACTTATATAGAGTTTGTTTATGGTTTGGATCACTTGATCGGCGTTTGTGTCCAAATAGTCGAGACATACTTCTCTCAAACAAAACAAATGACATATTTCTGACATTTCATATAAATCGCGCATAACTTCCATCACTTCTATGCCATTGTTTTCCGTCATTTCTGGATATCTTTCGATCACTTTCACCGAAAGCATACTTTCTATCCGTCGGAACTGATATCGATTGGCAGTGATTATAGTTTCGTTCATTTCCTGAAGAGTCCATTCAGTTGTGTCCACTTTGAAACCATAGCATATCAGCAATACATTGATCAATGGTTGCAATAATGTCTCCTCGAGTCTGATTCTATTGGTCTTGGATTCTAACCATTTACTCGACCCAAACATTGCCATAAAGTAATCACTTTCAGACATTACAATCGATTTATTAACTAAATATGTTGGACACAAAAATGTGAATTATATTAAATTTTATGTCAAACATAGAAAAGCATAGAAAAACAAACCTCTTATATGACTGTCATTTATATCGATCAATATATCCATTAGTTTATCGCTTCTCTTAAATGAAATATAATTGTTTTCTTCGACTAAATCCATGATTCAATTGAATACTTTTATAATTAGATTAAATAATTTAGTCACCAAAACAAATAAATTATAAGACAAATACTAACACAATATTAGTTAAGATTCTTGACTCAAGAATATTCCGTTATTAAAAAGCCAATTATAATACACTGTTTATCTCATGATTAATGATAGCCTGCATTAAAAGTTAATGACAGATAGTTAACGATAATGTTTAAACTTTAATGAATAATGTTTATTATTCAAGAATATTCTGTCATTAATGTACAGCTGTATAAAGTATATGATATTCCGATCAATATCCTAAATAACTTAGTGTACATCTGTAGTGAACTTTCATTAATACACCATATATTGTATATTGAAAATTACATGTAATAAAATATAATTATTCTTTCGTTAAACACATTTAAATTGGATTTTATTTTAAAATTTAGATTTAAATTTAATATTAATAACAATTTTGATTGCAATGTAAAGTGCGATAAGGAAAGGGGTTTAGAAAATGCACACAAATTTGTTACGATTTTTGTGAGCAAATCAAACGCTTATTTGTTGTCAATTGTAAACCCTTTGTGTGCATCAAAACAGTACGTTATATGTGAACAGTACTGACTTCACACACTTCGCGAGTGAATCCAAACAATGACTTAAAAGAGACCACAAATTGAGATAATTGTGACACAAATCCTGTGATATATCGGCTCTTGTATTGGGAGAGAGTGTCGTTGCGGACGAAGAGCTGCGGCGAAGACGCGGAAGTGGTTTGCGGTGATCAGCGATGGAGTACTCGCCGATCAA